ATCTTTTTGGGTTGAAAAGTCATGCCCCACTTACGACTTTTACTTTTCTCTCTTTCTCCTGCCCTTTTTTTCCCCTCTCCTTGCCTGAAGTTTCTCCTCACTTGCTGGAAATTGAGTAGGCTTCATTTTGGTGTAGAGATTTTTCAGAAACTACTCATTATTTTCAAAGCACATGCTCGGAAAGGTAGGTGGGTAATGAAACATGATTTTCGTGCAGATTTTCAGGTCAAAGTGACATGGTTTTTTGGCTATTTCTCCAATCTCCTTGACTCAATTGCGCTCATTCTGATATCGTCTGTAAGATATTTTCAACCTGTTCAAGTACGTGCTCAAATTCGTGCTCCAGGGTTAAAAGTGATGACGTCACAAGGTGCAGAGAGGGTGTGGGTCCCCATGGGTGCATATGGGCACACTGGACGTCAATAGGTTAATTATACCAACTAACCTTTGCCAATATGCCAGCCATCCAATCTGTGCTTAACAGCAGGCCATTTCTCCCTCACGTGCTTTCTAATCTGGACATGTCTGTCTGTTATCAAGGTGTCAACAGACAGTCCTTCAGCAGTTAAAAATTGAAGGGATCTTTCCTGGCCTTCTTTTCCCATTACATTGAAGTTCTTTACTTCATTACTCTGTAGAGTAATATAAATTAAAGAGCAGAGTAAAGATATGTCAGACACAGAAGTAAACTATTTATGCCCAGTCATATATTACTCTAATTTTGAATGTAGGAATATAAATACCAACCTGGACTAGCTGAGAATCTAGAATTTTGTTTTGCTCTAAATCCATGAGAGAATAGCTGCCATATTTGGTGGAATGCCCTGGGCTGTCACAGCAACCATCCCCTCCCAAGATCAGCTCCTTGACCCCTCAGCTCTGATGCTATCCAGTAATGACAGGACTGTTGTTGTCTGTATGTTCTGTCCACTGCTGCATGTAAATATTTTTTTTATGCTTCATGAATGTGGAGTACCCAGTGGTCACTACATTCATGTGGCCCATTATTTTAAGCACCTTTTCTAGACTCCCCCCACCAAACAGAATTCCTGATGAAATCATAATGTTGCCAAGAGGAGTGTCCTCAATGGATGGCTGAGAATCCCAACTTCTGGTGAATGAGCAAGAGAGACATTATTGCATCACTGTTATTCTGGTAGCAATCCTAGAGTTGACCAGCTTGTCACACTCTGTCCGACACACAGGGCAAAACTCAAATAAACTCAACAGCCACGATTCTGCTACAAGAAACAACCTCTGTTCGTGGGCAGGTGTATTGCCAGGAGGTTGTCTGTAAAAATAAGATTTCAAGTGTTTATTCCGGTGAGATCTGTTTACCAGGTAAATGCAAGGATTGTACTCATTGGAATGAGTCTGGTTCATTAATCAGGTTTTATCGTTGTAATGAATGCATAACAAAGTAAATGATCAATTGTTTTTACATGTCACTCACTCGTACAAACAATCGTCGAAATCAGCAAAATCTTCATCCTCATCTCTCACATTTTCAGGGTCGGGAACATATAAGGGGTCGTCGTCTACATCCATCTCCTCTTCCCAATCTGAAGGCTCATCGTCACTTGCACGAGATGTTGATGTAACAAACGTCTCTTGTAAAAGAGTGCATTGGGT